CTGGTATGCTGTGGTGAGGTCATTAGTGAAGTTTTCTGACTAAAACGTCTAACTCACTCATTCACTCGTATGTATTCGTTTTTTGTAGAGTACTGGGTGTTGGTTTCAGAGCTTTGGTAAAAGTTTAGACCAATTTGTGATAACGGCTCTTCGGTCTGGTGTGCTATGGCAACTTATGTCTAATTCAATTTCGACTGGGCCCACCAGCGGCCGAGCGGTAAAGTCGCTGAACACTGGTAGTTCGGTCCGAGGTTCGAATCCCGCGAACGGGCTGGCTGCATGGGTGTTTTCGTGGTTTTCCCCATGTGTAACGTGTATACGAGCCAGTTTCCCTTAGAAAGTCCTCCACGAAGGCATCCCTCCTCTTAGCCATATAGCCCTCGAGGATTTGCCATAAACACACGCACACAATTTCGACTGGGTTGTGGTCCGAGGAAAGCTCATCTAATGTTTGAATTTTAGATGGAGCTTGGATATTTTTTAAAATTAAGAAGTCGAGGGTAGAAGCATAAGTAGGATCCATAGCGTTTTGGCGTGTTGGGGTGGGTGGAGCTGCAATATGGAAGGTTGGCTGTATTAGCAAATTTTCGGTAGTTGTGTGCCTAGGAAATTAGTAGAATTGCAGTTCCAAGCGCGGTGTCTGGCGTTAAAGTCTCCTCCAACTATGATTCGATTGTTAAGTTTGAATATCATGCTTAAATCTGCAATGATATCGGTTGTAGGTTTGGATGGTGGTACGTAGAGAGAGACTAAAGTGTATGGTGGTGTGGTGGGTGGTATGATGGTGGATAGCTACTGCCTCGGTGGCTAAAAGCTGTGGAATTGTTGATTCGGTAATGAGTGATGGAGCGTTTAATTCAAAATGATGACACCTCCAGCTGTACGATTCATGCGTGGTCTGTCATATCTGTGTAAATCATAGTTTGCAACGTGAAAAGTGAAGTTTGGACCAAGGATGTGTTCCTGTATATGAGGAGTGCATCAGGGTTATACTCATTTATAAATTCTTTTAAGTTCTGGAAATTTTCGTGTTTGAGGCCTTGCGCGTTCCAAGTAATTAATCGTATTTTCTCTTCTATCTCTGGTGTGATTATTCATGATCGGGTTCGTTAAGCTCTTCTATTATCAGAAATAAAATGTACATTTTTTCCATTTGTGTTTGTGCTGATCTGAGGTTGTTGAGGTTTTTCTTGAGTAAGTTTGTTAGTTTAGTGATTTGCTTTTGGCCAAAGATGGATTCAATTTCTTTCATTATTTGGAAAAGTTCTAAAAATACAGACGTGTTTAAATTTTGATTTCCTTTGGAGTTAATTTGTCCTGTGGTTTTATTTGAGCGATTATGTTCAATTTTGTTACTGTTGGGGGTGTGTGTAGCCGGAGCTGTGTTCTGATTGGTTGATGTATCAAATTGTATATTTTCTTGTGTTTTTTGAGTTTTTGGATTTAGAGTTTCGGAATAAAGTTTTCTGGGGCCTTGTGAATTAATGTTTCGTGGTTTGGGAAATTTTTCGCATCCTCTGTAGCAAGCTGGATGTGAATTTTGGCAATTGGCACATACTGGATCTTCAATGAATCCTTTTTTTTGGACATGAGATAGATTTGTGATCCCCTGCGCATTTGACACAACGGGGTGTAAGGAAGCAATTTTCGGATGAGTGGTGCCATTTCTGGCAGTTGTGACATTGTGGTATGAGGTTTTTGTTAACATATTTTTCAATTTGTACTATGAATAGTGATATGTGTGTGATGTTGTAAATTTCTTCAATGTTGGGTGTGGGTATGAGTTGTGTTTGAAATAGAGGCATGGGCTGTCGTGTACGATTTTCGTGTCATCTGAGTAATTTTATGTACTTTCGATCCTTGTTCTGTGAGAATGTCATGAATTTCATCCGTGTCCATGTCTATAAGGAGTCCTCTGATTACAACCTTCACAGGTTTGAGATATCGTGCGTTTATGATGTAGTGTTCTATGTTTTTGTCTTTAAGGAATTGTGTGAGTATTCTGTGATCTTCGGATGAGTTTGGGTGTATTTTTAGAAATTCGCCGTTGATACGGCCAAAGAACTTTGCTTTGGATTGGTCTGCTAGCTGTTTTAAATAGTTGTTGTATTTTGTGTTATCTGGTGGTTTCACCATGACTGGGGGTACCGATTTGTGTTGTGGAGGTGTAATTGTTTGTTGAGTGTCAGAATCATTTTGTGTTTCTGGATTGTTGTCATTTTGGGAAATAGTGCCGTCATTATTGTTATCCAGGGGGCTAAATCTATTTTTGGTGGCAATGTAGTTTGATGCGTCTTTTAAATTGGCAAATTTTTTGGTCTGTTTGCTAGTTCTGGTTGGTTTAACAAATCCTACATTCTGCTCATTGCAGTCATCTGAGTTTTCAGAAATGTCATGCTGTTTTCTTTTTTGATTCATGCTACAAGTATTAGCGTTAGAATTATCTAAGTTTTCCTCAGGTGAACAATGATTTGGGTTATTTACGGGGGTCCTAGCACACAATGACATAAAATGTTCGCACTTACCCCTAAGGTGCTCCATTTCCAATTTCATCGTCGTATATTTGTTGCCCTTATAGAGGAGTCTACTGGTCCGGGTCGCGTGATGGCAAACCGCACATTGAGTTGACCAATGTTAAACGAATTTCGCTTACTGCGCATGGCCAAAAGAGAATTTGGCGTAGTTACGACTTTGGCGTAATTTTAAAAGAAGATAAATACGGTATATAGTTGATATTGTGTTATCTTGGGCGTAAAGAGTTCGAGGTTTTAAAACATGTCAGGTTGTAAGTTGCTTCATCACTTGGAGTGTAAATGTCGATTATAAACTACCCAAATTTTCTTTTAAAAAGGATTACAAAACGGGAAACATTAAAAGATGTATTAACTAATTATACTTCTGAGAAATAAAAAGAATTGAGTATTTACCATACGTTCCATTCATATATACTTTAACAAATTAAGCATTAAATCTCGTTTAAATTACTGAATTAAATTTCAAATAAAATGAAATAGACTGTTGCAATTGTAAGCAGTCGATAAGACCTACATGACGAACAGGCTTGTGTAGGGTTGCTTATGCGTAGTCGCCAGTATTTTCTCCCACGCCAGCGATACACCATTGAGCACGCGCGGTAAGCGAAATTCGTTAACATTGATCAACTCAATGTGCGGTTTGCCATTAAGTGTCCATGTCCAAAACAGCACGAATGGCTTCCATTTGCTTCTTCAGGGATTTGGTCATTTCGATCTTGGCTTCGAGTGCGTGAATTTGATTCTTTATCTGCATAATGATGAGTTCGGGTTTTATATCCAATTGTTCGGTTTCCGATGCTGTCGAGGTGTCCATGGAATCTTGGTCAGCAGTATTAGCCATACTCCAGTCGCTAGTAGGTTTGTCCGGCGGTATAGCGGCGCAAACCGGCGTCGGATCATGGGCTGATGCCATAAGCAAAAAGAGCATCCTTCACCCACGAAGGCTGAAGGCAGATCCAACTTCCTTCTCCTATACAAAAATTTAGAAAAAGTGGGGGCAACTTCAGGTACTTTGCAGGCGGGCGCCGGATAACCTTGCGCCGGCGCTGCACAATGCAATGCAAAGTGCATCTAAAAGGCAAAGCTCACATGAGACTTCTCATAATAGTCCAAATCAGCCTTGAACTAAAAACTGACAATTGATGCTTTCTTCAGTCTTTTCAATCATACTTTTCTCTAGGCTGCAGAGAAATTTAGTACCCTCTACTTATCAGAATTACAGGAAGACATGCAAAGGTTGGATATGGTTACAGTTACATATAGGGATCAATTGCAATTATTCAATTAAAAACACATTACATTTATGCAGGGACCATACCATAATGTTGCCAGAGTTTGACGACATTTGGCGAAAAAATTAGTTACTAAAAGCATCTCCAACTTAGCAGTATCTCGCCAAATTTAACGAGATACAAATTTACCTTAATGTTAAATAATCTTGCACATGTAATCTTATTTTTCCAACAGATCTTCATCTCTTGAGGCATTTCATGTTACATTATACTAAGATACTGTAATTTTGCGTATAATTTGACTAAAATTATTTGCATATATACAAAATTCATAACATTGCCCATTCCCAAGAATGCATGTCCCGGGCAGTACATGCAGTCCTCAGCAATGCTTTCAACCAATTATATCAATAGGTTACATCAATGCAGTACAATAATTCGAATAAATAATATAGTCACTAAAATCATTGCCAGCTTGGCGTTACCTCATCAACTTAGTAAGATAGCTGTTTACTGAATGTTAAATAGACTTGTACCTGTATTCTTATTTTTCCAGCAAAGCATCACCTTTTTAAATTTTTCATGTTACATTCTAGCACTTTGCCCACAACAAAAGTCACATATAATTTTGCCAAAATGTACTACACATGTACAAAATTCGTAACATCCCAAGGACTGCACGTTCCAGGCAATTCAGTCCCTGGACAGGAAGGATTCAGTCCCTGGACAGTCCCAGGAAGTCATACTTACAAATAAGGAAACTGAGTGTAATACTAAAATGATAATTTCAATAAATAATGTACAACAGTCATATGCTAAATCAATAAATGAATGCTTAAGTTTAAAAATTTGTATACAAATGGGACCATGGTCTTAGGTATACTATTTACATTATATACACTATGGAGAAAAGGTATGATGGCCATAGTAAGGGACTAGCCTGCCTTAATGAACAGTTTAAGGTTTAGAATTTGATGACTTACGGATCTCAACTGTGACATCATTCAGCCAGTTTAGGATGTATAATGATCATCTCAGGGAGATTGTAGTAGGAGAAGGCCTTTCTATCAAATTGGATTCCACAACTACATTTTGTCACCTTCGCTGAATTGATATACTGTAGCTCTCATGTCATATTAGGTCTTCGCTGTCTCCACCATTAAGTTGATTTGCTCTTGTGCAAAATTGTGCATCACTTCAAACCATGCCTGGAGATCTTGAATGTACATTTCAGGCAACGAAGGCAAATCCAGAGAGCAACAAACAACAGATCGCAAGGCAGATGAAGATTACAACTGAAGAGCATCTAGGATGGAGAATAAATAGCCAGTAGTCTCGTGGATGGTACTATGGCAGTCCACTGAGAACAGAGGTAACGTCTGGTCCCAACTTGGTTTCTGGAGACCATCAGCAGGAGTTTAAGGATGGTTTGATGAAACCTCTCTACTGTGCTGTCTAACAGTGGATGTAAAGGTATCGTTTGAGTTTTATTTATGCTAAGTAGTTTTCAGTTTCTAAATTATAACCAACATAAAATATTCTCCTTGATTGGAATGTAATTAAAAAGGCACCCCAAATTTGGAAATCTAATGCTATATCATTTCCTTTGCTACTGTGACAGCCTATTGATCAGGAAAAGAATACACTACTTTGTAAAGGAATTAATGTCAATGAAAATGTATTTGTTGCCATTAGCAGTTTGTTGCAGTGGTTCCAGGATATCAAAGGTGATGCGTTAAAAAGGGGCTCTTGCATTCTTTCGTTGCAGCTTCTATCAGCCACGTTTCTTTTGTCTTTCCAGCTTAAATAAGCATAGCAAGATTGGCACCACTTTTGTACGTCAGGGCTTGCATTAATCCTGTCAAAGTGCTCTCAAACACTATGCAGTCTTCATTATTCCAAAGTGGCCTCCAGGTGGATTTGCTATTTAGTTCTTTAAAGACATCTGGGATATTGAAAGAATCAACTGCCATTGTAATGTCTTTCCATTAACCAATTTGAATTTGTGGTCCAAAACACCATTTCAAATATGGAATGAGTCCCAGAGAGCACAATATTGTTTTATCGTAGGACTAGATATCAAAATGTCCTGTCAGGTAGGTCTCCTATTTGAAGATTCCATTAAATGAATTATGGGTTAAGTGTTGCCATCTTTCAGTTGGTCTTTCCTGACTTGTTTGTTGTTCTATGGGTCTTGATCATATGATGTTGAATTTGTAACTTGACATGTGACTGAATTAATCAGCTCATATTTATCATATTTCACTTTGACCATGGAACAATATTGGCAGCTTTCTGGGCAAGGTCTTCTAGACAGGGCATTGGTGTTTTTGGGTGATGAAAGATTTCCCACGACAGATAAAGATGTCATGTTCCTAGAATTTATGTATCCATCTTGCTATTTGGCCTTCAGGATTCTTGAAATTTTAAAGCCAGGTCAGCTGTGCATATGATCTCTACGGAGGAAGAATTTTCTGCCGTAGAGGCAATAGTGGAATTTTTTCTACGGCTTTACCTAAAGCAAGCAACTCTTTCCTGGTGTTCCTCTCTGGACATTTGCTCCAGTATGCCAAAAAACATTCTTGACCACTTATTTCTTGGAACAAAACAGCACTGACAATCTCATTGCTTGCATGTGTCAAGAATAAATGGTTTGTTGAGCGAAGTATACATCAGGATTGTGAAGGGGTTTTGCTATGGAAGAAAGTCTTTCAGAAATCTCCTATAATATGTCTAAAGCTATTGAAAACTTTTGAGTTGATGGACCTTTTCAGGGCATGTCCAATCTAACTTCTGACACTTTTTCTAGATCTGTACACATGCCTTTGGCAGAAATATATCTGAGGAAGTCACTTCTTGTCTGAACAGCTTATGTTTTTCAGGATGTAACTTTAGATTGGCTTCCTTTAATTTCTGATGCACCTCCACCATCTAATGTTCTTCAAAGCTCTGAAAATGATAATGTCATCCAGATATGTCAGACAGGCTAAGTTGGCCACTCGATGCATTGAATTCTTTGCTACTGAAGATAATCATCCAATGTGTGAGCCCTGCATCATCTAGCATTGTTATCCTGTAAATCATTACCTATTGACCCAGCATAAGGGTGCACATGAGTATCAAGGATGTCATCTCTGTAGGCTTGAGCATTCAGAGTTCCATGTGAAAACACACGAAGGTCTGTGTATCCACCCAAAGAGTTACCACCCCAAACACAAACTCTGCCTCTTCTGTATGTGTCTCTTTTACGGATGTTTGATGGATGATAATGGGTTCTGTGTTCTCTCCCAATCAAATAACATCTACAATCACTTTGGAGGCTAAAACCTGGACTCATCTGTAGAGAAAATAGTCCTTCATTGATTAGCTATTGAGTGAGTATGTTGATATGTGCCCACCTCAAACGTTCCCTTCTAAGACATGATGACATCACCATGAGCGGTGGGCACAGCTCAATAGATTTGCATTGCTAACAATTTGTACTTTTGCTCAATTGAAAAAAATTAAAAAATAAAGGAAAACTCAAATTAACAAATTCATCTTAAATATTGAAACATAATATTAAGGGAGGATAACAAGTAAAAACCGATTTACACACAGAGTGATTTTTTTTTTAAACATTCAATTTTATCTGACACTGCCAATTAGAAACTTAACACCTTATCCATAAACAAGCAAAACTTGAAGTATATGGTTACCACTGGAGGGATAACCCAAGTGCAAGTTCACACACTGGAAAGAAAAAGCCAAAAAAAAAAAAAAAAAAAAGGTTAGTTTTAGATTTTGTTGTTTTTCTCTCCCACTCCAGCTGTCTTGAACGGTGCTGCAATTGTGTTTTCTTCATTGCCAAAGACCTTGAACTTGACAATGAGTGATGATGGAATGGTCGCCCAATTGCGGCCGCTCGAAAGGAGCGAAATGGAGATTCGTCTGATGAAAGGTCTTCATTGGCTACCAGAAGTGGGCAGGCAATCACTTGAACTGTAATGTTGCTCCTCAAGGCAATGGCGAGAGGTCAAAACCATTCCACTGAAAGATGACATAAAAACCTAGCTTCACATCGAAGTGTCAGTGTAACATGGTTGGAAGCCTAATGACTACAAATTGCACACAAAGAAGTAATCCCTCGTGGGCTAATGTAAAACTCATGGGCTACATGTAAAACTAATTGGCAAAAAAAGGTGCAAAAAATCTAAACCCCACATATGGTAAAAAGCTTGGCAAAGGAATTTGGGGCACTATCTGCCCAAGATAAGGAAATTCTAAAAACTCAAATTCCATGCCAACAAATTTAGTTGGAAAAAAATGGTATATAAATTTTCATCAAAAATTAAACAATTTAGGTACTGTAAATTAAAGCACTAATATTTGACAAATTAAATTCAATCAAATATACACACAGTAAAAGATGTTTTTATAGTGCAAATAAGGATGAGTAATCATTTCTAGAGTTATGGGTTCTTCATCACTTAATCGACCTTACCCCGAGAGTCAGAAAATATGTACTCATGAAAATGTTAACAGAAAGAGGAGTAAACATTAAACAAACATATTAAAAATTTAAATTAACACACCGAAGTGTGTAGCAAACAAAACTTTAAATTTTAAAAGTTTAAATAAGGATCAAAACTATCAGTACAATAAAAATCAAGGAAATTTTAAGTTCTAAACAAAATTAAAAGTTAAACAACTTCACTTAAAGGTTAAAAAAATGTAAAGATTCCAAACTTAAAGTTAACCAAATTTATAGCTTACAAAAAAAAATTTACAACCATTACTTGAACTAAACTAATAAGGCAAATTAATGAACTTCAATTACTGACAAAACTGAATTAAGAAGCAAATAAAGCTTATAACTTGAAATTAAGAAAAAAAATAACACATTACAACGTGTGGTTCCTAAAAGTGTAGCATAGATCAGATAAACTATCAATAATTAGAAATTCAGTTTCAAAGATCTGATCCTGAAATTTAACAGGTGAAGTAGCTTTCTTATTGACTAATACTTTGTTGTTTGAAATACGCTCTAAATAAATTTCACATGGTTCAATTTTTAGTGTCTATCCAAAATACTGACTGTACCTACCATTTAGTAAATTAACTGTAGCTCCTGAATCTAAACGAAATTTGAGTTTATTTTCCAAAAATTGAGCCATTCACAATAGGAAGAAGGTTTCACCTAAAGAAACTGAGTACACTGAAGATACCTTCAAAAGGGCTTCCTGGGATGAACTGAAGGTGTTATTCTCCCCACCCCTTGCTAGTTTAAATTCTGGCTAAAAGCAGGAGCCTGAGGATTTAATTGAGTAGTGGTACTCGAATTTGCCTGTCCTGCAACCTGTTGTGCGTTAGGTGTCACTCTTGTATTTCCTTGCTGACTAGCATTGTTTCATGAAAACTGTCTTGCTCTAACATTGTTGTTAAGACCCTGAGATAAATTCATGATACAATTTCTACACTCACGTTTGTGAAAATTGCAACACCAAGAAGGAATCGTCATAATTGAATGCAATTTAATACACAGTTGAGTGGTAGTGGTACAAAAAATGATTAAATGTTCAAGCAAACAAAAAAGAACAAGAGATCAGAATCAGTATTTTGTGTGGCCACCAGCGCCGCAATAGTGCTGCTACACGACGTGGCATGGAGTCAAACAAAGTTTGAATGTCGACTGAGGAAGAGCATTCCATATCGTTTGTACTCGTACCCAAAGTTCGTCTGCCGCAACAGGACGAGGATCACGAGCAAAGACGCCGACCCAATGACATCCCACACATGTTAAATTGGCGACATATCCGGGAACACGCGGCCAAGGAAGAAGCTACTGCTGCGCTGCAAAGAAGGATTTACAATCCGAGCAGTATGAGGGCGGGCATGTCCTGTTGAAATACAGCGCCTGGCAAGTTTGAAGGAAGGAACAGCTTCGCTGTAGAACTTCAAGGATTATACCGGTTGCTGTTCAGTGCCCACAATTCGTAGCAATTGAGATCGTCTATGATATGCTATGCGCCCCAGACCATACTCCGGGTGTTCATCCACTTGCGTTCGTAATGCACTCCGAAGGTGGCGTTCACGGCATAGCGTCTGACCGAATGCGGCATCATGGTAACCACAAATTAAGCGGGATTCGTCAGAAAACATACATGTGCCAATCAGCACGCCAGTCTCTATGCTGATTGGCCCATTGTAGCCGCAGGCGGCGATGGTCGGGCGTTAGGGGGATCCTGTATAAAGGAGTCCGTGCGCGCAGTCCACCACTGCAGCAGACGTCTACGAATTGATGAAGCACACAATGAAACACCTGGCTATTACACAGTGCTGCCAATGTCTAGAGGAAGCTGTACGGTCGTCCGCGCCATCGACCAGGTGTCTATCATCG